GATCAAATCTGACTCACAACGTGCGCACACTCCCGTGGGAGCGGTCTGGGCTCTGTTTGTGCTTTGGGCAGCATGGAGTGTGTGTCCTCGCCAGTGATGGAGGTGTTTATACTTGGTGCTCTCGTTACTGTGGTATTCTCCATGAGGCAGAATACTTTACAAGTTGTGAAATGTTGTAGAACAGGAGAGCAGAGGCCTGAGGAACCAACAAACTGAATGTTGCAGGTCACGTGCAGCCTTTGCATGAGGAGCTTGGTCACATGTGCAAAGTGGGACATAAATTGTAGGATAACAGCGCTCTGAGCACAAATATTTAATATAAGTTAGGTTTTAGAGACCAAAGTTCCAGTTGTGGCAATGGAGAACTTTAAGCCTGGTGGTTTTGGCTGTCGTGAGTCCAAGACTGAATCCTGCCCACTGACTGGTTTCTGTGGCAAATATTCTGTGAATGGGGACTCATGCCTCTGTCTTCACCACCGTATTTGTTGTCTTTTTGAGACRGTATGAATACTCAAAATATAAAATTACATATCTTCAAAGCAACATTTAGGATAATATTGCCTATGATATACAGTATACGGCCCACCTCTAACTGTGCTTTGGGTAAATAATGTAACTTTTTTCACAGGGAGTCCAAACTGACCAGAATCCTCCAGGACTCTCTGGGAGGACGTACAAAAACCTCCATCATTGCCACTGTGTCTCCTTCCTCCAGCAACCTGGAAGTATGTCTCTGCATTTGGTCACGCTGACATGTCTGTTTCCTGTGAATTTAAACTTTTACACTTTGTTTACATATCCTGATGACATAACCGTCTGTGTCATGGTGATTTGTTTATTCTTCTGTGACAGTTTTAAAAGTTTGTTCTGATGATATTTTTCCCCRTGTTTTGTGCTGATTCTTTAAGATCAGGTTGTTTTTCTGTGTTTGCAGGAAACTTTGAGCACACTGGATTACGCCAGCAGAGCCAAGAACATCATGAACAAACCTGAAGTCAACCAGAAACTCACAAAGAGGACTCTTATTAAGGTAAAACCTGTTTGTAGTTTTTCTTAAAATTTGAAGACGTTGATGTTGAGCACTAATGAACCATGTAGATCGTCAGATTTCCAGGCAGACAGAATCACAGAATAAGTTTATATTTACTTTAACAAAGCTGTTGGATATTTTGCAACTGGTGAACTGAATTTTAAATCCTTCTCCTTTTATCCTCTGGGATGCAATGAAGCACATGTGAAGATGTTTGTGTGTGAATCAACATTCAGGACTGAGTACTGGACCAGTTTCCTGCACCTGATTCTGGTTCTCACTGTACACTCTTCCTTTGGGACTTTAAACCCTACAGTGAGGTTGTTTTTCTGACTCTTCAGGAATACACAGAGGAGATCGAGCGTCTAAAGCGCGACCTGGCTTGTGCCAGAGAAAAGAACGGAGTTTTTATGTCTTCTGAAAACTACGAGTAAGTACAGGAACGGTACACGACAGATTTCAGAAAACTGTTCATGTTGTCACACGATAAAAACCATGTYGTTATAAAAGTTATACACATGATGAAGGCATATTTRAAGCTTCAGCTGCTTGTTTGATATGAACTGATGTGTTTTTCAGGAGCATGATGACTCAGATAAGCGCTCACGAGGAGCAGATCTCAGAATACATGGAGAAGATCGCCGTCACGGAGGAAGAGCTTAAGAAGGTGCTGCAGCTGTTCTCCTTTTAGCAGATAAATGAGGTGATGAGCACAAACATTTATCCTGTGCCCCCCCCCAACCCCGCAGGTGTCTGAGCTGTTTGAGGACAGTCAAAGCAGACTGGAGCAGTGCACTGTGGAGCTGGATGAGAAGCAGCAGAGGTATTAGTCCACACAACAATCCTGCAGCCRGCAGCAGAATTTGGCCTCTGAATGTTGTTTGTTTGTATCAGGCTGGAGGAAACCAGCAGAGACCTGCAGCAGACAAAAGACAAGCTGATCCAGGAGGAGTTCATCTGYTCTGAGCTCACCTCAGTCCACGAGTCTCTTTACAGCACAGCTGGACAGGTACAGACTTCACTGCATCAACACTTTATTTTTAMTATGATCTTTTATTTTGTACTTTTTCAAAAACCTGTTGCTCTAAGCCAGGAGTGGGCAGTCCTGTTCTTTGTTTTGAARCAAACACCTGCAACAAACTCAAACAGTTAGCTGCTGAAATCTACAGGTTTTCTATCACCTTAGGTATAAAACCCAAGTTTTTTGGAATAGGCCTTGTATTTCTGAAACCTCCTGGTGAGATGTTTTTAACCACACTTCTCTAATTTCTGCAGTGGAGCATTTTAAACAGTTGAACAACGACTGAACTTTCCTCTTGTGTTTCAGCTCCTGAGCACCGTCGACACCAGTACCAGTGACGTGTCAGGTCTCCATAACAAGCTGGAGCGGAAGAAAAAGGTCAAAACTTCAAAGAAAAACTGTTAAATCAGTCTAAAATCAAATGAAGGCTTTTCAGTCCTTGAAGGAGTGCATATGACCAAATGCCTTTAACAAAATTTATTATATAAAATTATATTAATGGTGTCTGAGCTTTTTACAAGTGCATCTAGACCATGCAGGACTTCATCAGTGTTAAACTAAATACAACAGATCCTGACCTGAAATGACCTGAGATGTTTGTCAGGACTTGGCATGGGACGGTATACCCTTGGGCAAAAATATCACAGCATTATGAGTACAGCTTTAAAAAGTTTAATTTTGAAATAGGTATTTCAAAAAACATATTTTCTATTATTCAGCTTTAATTATCTTTGGAAGCTGTTTTTAGATCTCAGAGGTGTTGTGCTGAAATTTAATTTACGTGTGTGCATTTGTACTTGTGATTTTTAGCATCTAATGCAGTTAGTTTATCCTGATAACGTTTACTTCTAGTAAAATAACTGCTTTTCTATTGCTTTATTAGTTAAGACAAATCAGTGTGTACTGCACAACAAGTCTTTTTATTGAAGTAATGTATCATGTTGGAGGTTTTTATTGTGTTTTAAATTTCAAAATGGTTTTTGACATAAAGATGATATATTTATATGCACACAGAAACAAGAAATCACAACTACGAATGTGTTTATGAAACACGTGCAGCTAACGAGCTTGTCGACTAAAGGAGGCATTTAGTTTTATCACCTTTCACTTAAAACTTATCAAACACACAATCCAACAACTCAGTTTTGCAGACAAGTTGTGAGCGGTGCATTAAGCCACAGCAACACAGTGACACGTTTCTCTAATGTGTGATGCTAAAGTTAGCTCATTCATTTCAAGATAGCATCAACTTTACCTGGAGCTGCGATCATGTTAATGTGATGCCTTCACAGTTCACAAGACACTCCGTCTGTCTTCTTACAGCATCCAAAGTATTTTCATTTAGCCAGATTTATTATTTTAGACAGGGGAAAAGGGGAAAGTCTGTAGCTGCACAGACCAGAGGGGGAAAAAAAACATTTATACTGTAGGGATGGTATGACAGAAAATCTTAGTGGTTTTCAAACCGTGACTTTTTCATATCACTGTATACCTTGAAACC